CGCTGGTGGGACACGGTTTTCACCCCGGATCGTGCATCCAGCGCTGCACGAATGCTTTGCCCGGTGCCTTTGGGTGGATTTTTAGAGAGAGGTCTTGGCTGTGCCACCAGGGGGAGGGACAGGAGTTGCTGAGTGACCCAGCCGTGGGACAGGGAGCTGGGTTTTAGCCAAATTGGAGGGAGGACCTGTCCTGCTGAGGATCCCATGTGTCCCAGCTGGACTGACGGCAGTGGGAGCTCGTGTTTGCTGAGCAGCTGCAGATTCCAGCCAGGCTCCTGGCCCGTCACGGTGTGGGTGTCCAGGTGCAATAATACAGGCTGAGGAGCCTCCTCCTCACCTGGGTGACTTTTTGGCTCCCAGCAGTCCCCTCCCCTGGAAGACTGCCAGGGTGGCACCGAGGGCAGCCAGCGTGGAGGCAAAGGTCGCTGTGAAAGGGAGCTGGCAGTGATCCCAGATCCCGTCAGGGCAGCTCATCCCTGCTCCCACCCAATGCAGCTGTGAGCTCCCTGTGCCCCCAGCAGGTGGTTCTTTCACTAGCAGCAGTGGAAGGGGAGCTGGCAGCTCTTCAATGGCTTGGCCACTGCCTTGCTGAGCCAGAAATGTTAGTGACATTTGGAGGCGAGGGAGGGAGGAAGGCACAGCAGGAGAATGAGGAGCCCGAGCAGCAGTTTTCCACTGACCCCTTGTCAGCATCCTAATCTGTGGGAGTGGACCAGGCTGCTGCTCATCATTGCTCCCCACTCTGAGCCTGTGGGGAGGCAGGAGGATGCTGGCTGCTCCTGCACAGCTGGCCAGATGCAGGGACACATCCTTCCTTGTGGGCACAAATGGCTGGTGCTGGGCGCCAGAAATTTAGTAACATAGTTACTATAGTTTACCTTTTTTATCCACCCTCCCCCTTTGTTGATGTTTTTAGGTCTGTGCAGGAACCTGATAGGCTGGCCACAATGTCGCTTCATGGTGAAAGAGTTGCTGCTCTCCTGGCTTGGGTAAGTCCCCCCTCCTGTGCTGGAGCTCGCTGCATGGGTGGGACATACTGCTGCCAGCTCTGGCAGCTTCCAGCCTCGATGCTGGGGCTCATCACGGGAGGGATTGTGGCTGGGGCAGGTCCTAGGGTAGTCCAGTTCCTACTGTTCCTGGGCAGGTGGGTGTTTGCAGGAGAAGCCTTGCTCACCCTTCCTGTTGAGCAACCAGAAATGCTGGAATGGCTTGGTCTGGTCATGGAGACTGCCTGGGAGATGGAGCTGAGACTGAAGCAGGCAGCAGCTGTACTGTAAAGGTGTTGTTGGATCTGTCTCACAAAGCACTGGTGTGTCCAAGTGAAAACTCCTAGAATGGTTTGGGTTAGAAGGGGCTTTTAAGCTCATTCAGCTGGAATGCCCTGCCATGGGCAGGGAGACCTCCCACTGGACCAGCTTGCTCCAAACCACATCCAGCCTAGCCTTGAACACCTCCAGGGATAGGGCAGCCATGGCTTCTCTGGACAACCCTCACAGGGAAGAATTTCTTCCCAATATCCCATCTAACCCTGCTCTCTTATCAGTGGGAAGCCATTTCCTCTTGTCCTGTCACTCCAGGCCTTTGTCCAAAGTCCCTTTCCTGCTCTTTTGAACCCCCTTTAGGCACTGCCAGGGGCTCTAAGGTCTCCCTGGAGCCTTCTTTTCTTCAGGCTGAACACCCCCAGGTCTCTCAGCCTTTCCAGGGAAGAGGGCTCCAACAGTGTGATAAATGGGACCTGTGCCAGACCCCCAGATGTGGAGCTGTGGGGATCATGTTCATCTGTTCCCTGGGAAGGGGTGGTTTAAAGGGGTGGATTTACTTTCACCCCCAGACCAGTTGTGCTGTCCCCTGCCAGGACTAGAGGTGGTGAGTGGCACAGCACAGTGATGCCTTGGTTTCTGCCTTCTGACTTTCCCACCCCATTTCTAGGTGAACAGCACCAAGGTTTGTCCTGATCCCATCAATGATCTCTCCCAGCTCCAGGACTGCAGTGTCTTCATCAGAATTATCCACAAAATGTGAGTATGGGGAGCTGTGTACACATTTCAGACCACACAGCTGGGTCTGTGCTGTCCCTGGAGCCATGCCTCAGCCCCCAGGAGCTAAGGGCTCCTGTCTTGGGCAGGGTGGGAGTGAGGGGTCTTGGGGTATTTATTCCTCCTCTGGCCTATGAAATGCTGGGATCTGCATCTCCTCTGTGCCACTGCACAGCTGGGGTCTGCCTGCAGAGCTGTTGGGTCCCACAGAGCTGCCCATGGAATGTTTTGGTCAGAGTTCCTGTCCTTTGAGACTTGTTATCACATCTGGCACTTAACATCTGGGTTCACTCCTGGCCATGTAGAGAAGACCTGAGTGCTGCTGCCAGTACCACAAGGGTTCCTGCAGCTGCACAGGAGATTATCCATTTCTGTTGGTGCTGCTTTGGTGAGGGAACACCCAGCAAGTTTTCCCGAGTGGCAGCCTTGGGATCCTGAGGAAGCCTTGTATCTGGAAAGCAGTGTAAAGAATGACAGTTTCTGCCTCATGAGGTGCTGCAGCCTGGGGATGTCAGGCTGCTGCTGAGTATGGTGTGGTCAGGACGGAGCCTGTGTGCTCTGCCTTGGGACCTGAGGTGGCTGGGCAGGGGTGGGAGGAATGCCTCCTTCAGCAATTGTGCTTGTTCCCTGGGAGCAAGGGGCAACTAAAATCTACAGGCCATAATGGGCATCAGAGGTGGGACAAAGCCTGGTGGTTGAGGAGCTGGCAAAAACAAATGGAGAGGGTGTGAAGCTGCCATGCATTGCTTTCAAGCCCTTCCGGTGGGAGGCTCACTGGGAGCCTGTCTCCTATAATTACCTCCTGCGCAGGGTAAGGAGAGCCTGCCTGGAGCAGGGATCTGCCTGCAGTGGGTGGGGAGGAAGGAGCTGCCTGCACCACAGATATATTTAGTCAGACCTGGTTAATCTCCTGGCTCTGTGCTCCAACTGGGATTAGCAAGGATCCTGATGGCGTGTGCTCTCTAAAGAGGCCTGGCCATTGCTTGATAAAGTGGGGTGGCAGCAGGGCAGCTGCCACAGCAGCTGGCTGATCTGAGAGCTCCTGGTGGCACAAGAGGAAGTCGGTGAGGAGGAGCAAATCCTTGTGGCAGCCCCTGTCCCAGGCCAGGTTCTTGGTTTTGGCACGTTGGGAGTAAGTGACAGTACTGAAGCAGTGCTGGTCAAGCATGATTGGTGTGGGTTTTGGGCATGCCATTTCTGAGCAGCAGTTGGGTTTAATAACCTTTGTGGGTCTCCTCCAACTCAGGATATTCCATGAACCGGTGGCTGCTCAGGAAGAGTGTAGTCACAAATAAGTGCAAGAGGAAGCTTCAGCTTCACAAAATCCAGCAAGAAAAGCCTGAGGCTGCATGCACGGACTGGCCCCTGTGGTGCTTCCCGGCCAGTGGGGCCACCACAAGCTCCCTGAGCTGTGCTGGATGCTGGGGCTGGCAGGCAGAATAGGAAGCAGTGCCAGGGGGGTGTTGGCTGCCTGGCTCCAGCAGGGGGATTCTGGGGCATTCCTCTCCTGTGGTTGCTCTGCTGGCCCTGGTGTGGGGGCAGAAGGCACAGCAGTGCCCCAGAGCCANTAGGTGTAAGCCCAAGGCCTCACACGGCACCGGCGGGAGCAGCGCCAGGCTTTCCTTCTTGGGACAGCGGGACTGCCACGCAACTCGGGGCCGGGACAGAACTGGGGCTGTCACCTGTCCCGCGAAACTTAATCCGAGTGCGGCGGGAGCTGGGTTGTGACAGCCCGTCCCAGGGGGAGCCGAGCCCGCTTCCACTTGTGTGGCGAGAAAGGAAGGACAAGGGTCTGGGCTGGAGTATGGCAGCAGCATTTCCCAGCAGGAGGAAGGGGAGAGCAAGCTTCTGGCCGGGGAAGGGCTGGAGATGCCACTGACAGCATGTGTGGAGAGCTGGTTGCACTCCCAGTTCACCATGGGTCACAGGCTGAGCATCCTTTCAGGGCAAGACAGACATGGGCTTGAGCATATCCAGAGAAGGAAATGGAGCTGGAGCACAAGGAGTGGCTGAGGGAGCCGAGGGGGCTCAGGCTGCTAGGAGGCTCAGGGATTGCCTTCTCACTCTCCACAACTCCCTGACAGGAGGGTGGAGCCAGGTGGAAGTCTGTCTCTGCTCCCCGGGAACAAGCAACAGGACAGGAGGATAGGGCCTCTGGTTGTGCTATAGAAGGTTTAGGTTAGATATTTGGGAAAATTTCCCTGAAAATGTTGTATAGCTGTGACACAGGCTGCCCAGAACAGTGTTGGAGTCCCCAACCCTGGTGGGATTTAAAAGCAATGTAGACTTGGCACTTGGGACATGGTTTGATGGTGGGCTCAGCAGTGCTGGGAGAACAGTTGGGCTCAGAGGGCTTTTCCAGTTTTGCTGATTCTGTGATCTTGTTCTCATGGGTGTTTGTGCCCATGATCTCCCTGCTGGGCTCTGCTCAGCACCCCTGCAGCACCATTCAGCCAAGCCAGAGGATCGAGGGCTGGGTTGCAGCTCTGCACCTCCTGGAGTGAGTGGAGGAACACACCCTGTGGCTCTGGGAAGCCCCCACCCCCGTGCCTGGGCTTTGGCAGGTGGGGTTCACCTGGCTCAGGTGAGCCCCCTGCTATGCCAGGGTGGGCTCTCTGTGGTGCCCAGGCAGGGGTGGGGCACAGTGGGTCCACATTAGCTGTGGGGTTTAATGCAGGTTGATGCTGGCTGCAGACTCCTGCCTGCAGGATTGGCCACTCCAAATGTGCTGCCTGATTTCAGCAATACTTGCTGCCTTTGTGGCTGGAGGGGCTTCATCTGGGAAGAAGCAAAATAATTGGGTAAAGAGGTGCCTGGCAGAGCTGAGGCTGTTCTGGGTTACACTGGTATGCACAGGGAGCCCTCCTGGCTGGTGAGGGAAAGGTGAGACTTGCCTCATCCCGTGGAGTAAATGCTGCTGGTGTGGGGAAGCCAGGGCTGATTTTCCTCTTGCCTTTCCCTCAGGAGGAAGAGACAAAGCGGCTGCTGGAGCCGGCAGCCAGCCCGCCCAACAAGGTGCTGAACGGGGCAGAGCAGAGCTACCACAACCTGCCGTCAGCACGCACCGATGAGCAGGCCATGCTGTCCTCCATCCTCGCCAAAACAGCCATGTAAGCCTCAGGCCGTGCCCTGGGGCAGGCAGCACCCTCAGGCCATGCCCTGGGGCAGGCAGCATATGTTGGGGACAGTGGTGACCCTGGCTGGGGCTGCCTGGCTGTGGGCCCTGGTGGTCAGCCATAAGTGCTGAGGGGAAGGGAGGAGCTGTGGCAGAGCCCCCCATGTCCCTCTGCCCTCAGACAGCCCCTCCCTCAGCTTTGAGCCCCATGGGCACACAGAGAGAAGACCTGAGGTGTGAGGTAACCCTTCGGGTGCTGGGCTGGAAGTAGGGGCAGGGTTTGCGTGAGAAAGTGAGTCCAGGGGGATGTGGAGAGGGTGGCTGGAGGGGCAGCAGCACTGCATCCCCTTCGGAGGAGGCTTTTCCTCAAATGCACGGGGCAGTGTGGGGAGAGGGCTGTGTCCAGCCTGGCTGGGAGGGCTTTGGGATGCTCATAGGCCCCTCTGCTCCCCTGCCTGACATGGCAGAGCTAGTGGCCACTGTGTATGTCCAGCATGCAGGGCAGGGCCACAGCAGTTCTGAGCACTGCTCTGCTCTGGGGTGCACACAATGGGGCTCAGCAGGGCCCTGGGTAAGGGCCCAGCTCCTCTGTGAGCCCAGGGCCTGGTACAGGGGCTCTCAGGATATCTGCCAAGGGCATTGTCCTCCCAATGGTTCCTTTTATCTCCAGGTGGCTGCATGCCAAGCTCCTCAGAGCCCAGACCAGCCCCCAGCTTCCTGCAGCCTCTGCCTGTCTCCCTCTGCCCCAGGGCAGCTGTGGGCAAACAGTCTCTGGCATTTCCTTCCTGGCAAGCAGCCAGCCCAGCCTGGCACACTTGTGGCCGGGCAAGTTTGGCCTTGAGATGTTTGTCTTGGGGTGCTGGACTTTGTCTGCCCTGGTCAGAGGATGCTCTGAGATGGGGAGGGAACTCAGGGGGAGCAATGAGCCTCCAGTGGGAGCCACTGTCTCGTGTCTCTGCAGCAACATCATCGACGTGTCGGCAGCGGATTCCCAGGGCATGGAGCAGCATGAGTACATGGACAGAGCCAGGCAGTACAGGTGGGAGCTGCACTTCTCCCCTGGGGTCCCTGCAGTCCTTCACAGCTGTGTGTGTCCCTGGGCAGGTCCCAGGGGTTTGGGCCTGGGGCACTGAACTTGGCATGGAGAAGGGCTGCCTCATCTCAGAGAGCAGCGTGTAGCTTGCTCAGGGAAGGCTGATGGCAGTGCAGGCAGCAGAGCCCAGGACAAAGGGCTCCTGTGTTCACCCAGCCCTTGGGGCAGATGGTGGGGGGCTGGATGTGACTTCTTCTGCCTGACAGGTGTCTGTGTGGGAGAGCTGGAAGCTCCCTCACCCTCCTGCTGCAGGGAGTGAAGAGGGCGGGATGCTGGGAGTGCAGCACCACTGCTCTCCCTTTCTGCCCCTGGGGGTGCAGCACCCCCTTCTGGATGTGCCCATGTCTTGGCATGGCACTGATGTTGGCTGCTCTCCCTTCACAGCACACGCCTGGCCATGCTCAGCAACAACCTGACGCACTGGAAGAAGCTCCCACTGCTGCCATCCCTGACTAACCAGCCGCACCAAGTGCTCGCCAGCGACCCTGTCCCCTTTGCAGATCTGCAGCAGGTGAGCAGGGCTGGGCTGAGCCCTGAGCCCTTGGGATGCTCCCCAGGGACATATCCTCATCCTGGAGGAGCAGTAATGCCCAGAGCCCTGACACAATTTGTTAGAGCTGAGGGCAAAGCCTAGGTCAGGTTTAAGGCCTTGTTAGAGGTGGGGGCAAACCCAGGACAAGCTTAGGGACTCCTTAGGGCTGGAGGCTAACCTGCAGCAGTTTCTTTGGGATAACTTGGAGTTTCAGTGGCCATCAGTGACACAGCCATGTCTTTGTGCCTGCAGGTGTCCCGGATAGCTGCCTATGCCTTCAGTGCGCTCTCACAGATCCGTGTTGACGCCAAAGAAGAACTGGTTGTACAGTTTGGCATCCCTTGAACCTGCCCCCACCACTGCTGCTTCAGTGCTTTGGGTTGTTTTTGGTTTTTTCCTGATTTTTTTTCTCTTTGTATCCCTTCCCTCCCCATGCTGCTGCCACAGAACTTGGACAGATACCCTGTTTCCTACTAAATGCCAAGGCACCCATCATTGGCATGTTGAGCCCACCTGCATTGCTTGAGGCTTTCTCCTCCTCGTGGGTGGGTGGGTGGGTGGGTGTGTGTGCGTGGGGAAGAGGCTGTGTCAGCTGGATGCTGCCTTGCACAGGGACAAGCACAAAGGGAACAGCTGGTGCAAGGAGGCCCTGGTGTGGGTCAGCACCATATGCCAGGTCACCAGGATGGGTGGCTGGAGCCAGGCAGATGTGATGCTCTGCATGGGGCCTGGTGGCTCCAACACCATCCCTTCTCCTTTTTACATGTTTAGACCTTTATTTTGGTTGTTTTTTGGTTTTGTTCTTTTTTTTTAATTATTATTTTTTGCCACAGTAGATAAAGCCACGTTCATCCAGTGCCTGTCTCCACTGTTCTCTGTCGGACACAGCATGGACATGATGGGGGGAGCCATGCCCTGGTGGGGGGGTACACACATTTGTCTGACCCCTGTCTCCTCTTTGATCATGTCCCATGGGGGCAAGGGGACAGGGAATGCATGATGACCCACCTTTAAGGGGAAGGAAGCACCTGAGATTACTAAATGCTCAAGATTGAAAGGAATGTCAAAAGTCAGGGTTTGCAAATAATCAGAAAGTTTCATTAGTAAATGACACACTTGGCATGGAAATTGCAGGGTACCTTTTTATGGATAGGTTTCCGCAGCCTGAAGAGGATTTCTCATTTTCTATGCAAATTAGTTATCATGCACAGTCAGTTCTTTCAGGTCTACCTGGAAATAGATCCAACAGGTTTGGGGGTCTTTAGTCATCTTAATCCTACCCACCTCGTGCCACTCATGCTGTTTTGTCTTGTGCTTATCAGCAGGAACTACAATAAGGATGTTTTTCCAGGGCTGTCCTGTCTCACCTTGACTCCCTTCTTCAGCCATATCTTTTTCTTTTTCATGGTGTGTTAATATCAACAGTGTTTATTACCAGCAGTCCTTGGTTGATTCCACAGCCATCCAATTATCTTTGTTTGAGACATATGCATTAGCTCTCCTATGTTCTGGGAAGAGAATGCTCAGTGAGACTTACTTTGGACTGTGGTTTATAGGGTCATCAGAGAGTGGGCTTCATTATGCATTAGCCCTTTATAATTGAGAGCTCAAAGGGTCTCACTTTGGATTGCTGTCTAGGTCCCATGAGAGTGGGCTTCAGTCATAGTAATTTTCCATCCTGGCCACAATTTGAGTTGGTTGAAGGTGCAACAGCAAAAATACTGTTCCACTTAGGTTGTGACTCAAGCAAGAAAAATAAGTTTCCAAATCTGTTCATTAAAAAACAGATGCTCAATAAACATCTGTTAGTTCCTTGGTACAGATTGTATCCAATAAGCTCAAGTGGGGCTTAGTCTGGGTTGTCTTTGTGAAGGCCAAGGCCTAACAAGCATTTCTCAGGTCTTGGTGGCTCCTGGGTGGTGGTGGGGACATGTGCCACCACAGTCCAGTCCATGGCTAAACTTACTTGGGCCTCTACAGGATGAAACAGGGCTGTGGCCACAGGGACAAGCGCAGGACCCCCCCAGGTGAGAGGAGGCCCCACTAGTAGGTCAGGACAGGTTTGGGGGCTGCTGAGGACCCCTGTCTAGCTGGCACTGCAGGGCTGAGTGGGGTGTCTGCATGTGACACCCTGCTAGAGTCCCCCACGTGCCCCCTTGACTCACTGTGGGCTTCCAGTACTCCGTGTGGCCCCACACAACCCCCTGTCCTGTGTCCACCTCTGACTGGGTGGACTGTGGCTTGAGCCCCACACTCCCACACACCCCCGTGGTCCGATCTGTGTCACTCTGCCTTCACGGGTGGCCCCTGCCTGTGTTCTCCTTGGCCCCAGGCAGCCCTATTACCCCCCCCGACGCTAGGGCTTCCCACGCTTGGACTGCAGCACGTGTCCCGCAGGTAGCCCACGGTCCCGGCAACCGGCAAAGC